ATTCACCAAACATAATAATATTTAAAATGTTCCCACATTTATCTAAACGTTTCTGTAGATTGGATTTTTTTCATGAAGCTTATTCCTAAAAACTTCAAACATTTTACCTTTTTCTAAATGCTGATTATTGAATTATTCTAATCATTTTCTGTATGAAAATATACATTTTGCTGTATTTATGTGGGTTGAAGGATAATTAAATTATACAAAACGGCTGAAAAATGATAAAAAGGATTAAAAGTTTTCCTTATAAAGAGCCAAACTGGTTACAGCAGCTGAGGACTGATTGGGAAAATCTGCAGGAGAAAAGAAAACGTCTCAGCGACGATAAAAAGGTGATTTCTGATGAGGATCCAGGTTTGAGTCGAGGCTCTGAAAGCTGAAGCAGCTGAAGCACCAAGCAGAGGAATCCGGCCGACATGAACTAAACCTCATGGAAGGTCAGGAAGGAAACCCAAAGCTTTATATTAAGTAATAACGACCGTTAAATAACATGTTTTTTAATGCAAAGATGTTAGAATATTTTTATTTCTTCATTTCTGTTTTATATCTGTTTTCAAAACTGAAGCTAATTTAATAAAAACTCAATTTTCACCCCATTATTAACCCGGATTTAAATACTTTATAATAAGTAATTTTACCCTTATGGGATAATAAAACCCTTTAGGCACTAATTAGACCTTTAAGTTAATTTCTTCTAATTATTCTCACTTTGTGGGAAACCTTTCTCTATTTATGTTTAATTAAGAACTAAAATTAGACACATTTACCAGATTTTACCAAACAGGCAGGTGGAAATAAGCAACATTTGAAGCTAAAATTCAATCCTTTGAAGTCAACTTATTGAAGTGGTTTTTAATAAAGATATAAAGCTGCATGCACTAAATCTAGTTTATTATTTGTTTGTTAAAAAGAAAAAAATAACGACTGAAGCACATTTTAATGTCCTATTTCCATGTAAGCATTCTTAAAAAAAGCTAAAACTTAGTTTAAGCAATAACTTCCATATTTAGGTTAAATATATCCTACATTTAGAATAGATGATGTCTGACAGGTTAGATATTGTTAAGACCAACATTTCTATTTTGTTCAAATAGCAGGGGTGGAAAG